CAGTGGAGGCACAATGTGACCTTTCTATTGTCATCCGTTTTCACTCTCCTGAAAATTCTATGAATTTTTATTACAAGTTTTTTTTACACCAAGCTGAGGCTCCCACAAATTACTCGCACAGATGAGATGAAGTTGTTGAAGTGGTGTTAGGGAAGTTTTACAGCCAGCGCGGTGCCACCGAGGAGCCCAAGCCTGTGTCCTACAATGTCATACACCAGTAACTGCTGAGCCTCCTATTGGATAAATACATCATTTTATGGAACATTGATTGTTCTATAAACCCAATGGAGTATTATGCTCTATGATCAAACCATTTAGATTGTGTGTAGAGCACAGAAAATGCCATATTCAGGATGGTACTAAAAGTGCCATTTGTGTATTTTATGGATGTCATTACAGGGGAAACTTCTCTCTGTAGGCCCTGTTTACTGCAAAATTTTTTAGTCTGTAATGACATTTTTCATTCACAACGTATGCCTTCAAAAGAGGGGGCCCTTGTTTTATTTGTTTCATTCGAGTTTACTGCACAAATTCTGTACATTTTAATTAAATGTAAGCTTAACAAAAGCATAAGGTATTTATTCTCGGGAAGAGATGATGACAGTAACGAAAGAACAGCATATACGCAAAAAGGAAGCAGGCAGGTACAAGTCCTCCCCACTCCCCCCGTCTGTGGCTTCCCCACAGCACAGCAGGTAGTTCACACAGTTTTGGGGAGCGCGATTCTCTGCAGTGTAACCCCTCTGCTTCTGCCTGGTAGAGTCTGCGTTTTCAACTCTGGAGATGTTCTTTCCAAGCAGCACAGAAAAAAAGGAGCTGCCGCTTTGTAATGGTGTTCTGGAGAGGTGAGCATAATTTGAAATCATTTCCCAAAATCAGTCCTCAGACACCCCCTAAAAAAAAAGCCTTTCTATGGCATCCAACTCATAAGCTCTCAGTGCACTTGGCTATGAGGACGGGGTACAGCATCTTTGTCCTCATGAAGGCAAGTGAGCAGCACCTCGGGGTCCCCAGAACAGCACTGGCGTGTGCTCACCTCACCTGCACCTTCTACCCAAAGCTGTGCATGGCCCGACTGGAAATAGAGCCCACAGAGACTGAACACAGATAGGTATTGGTTAGCTACTTTACCATCCTGAAATCTGATGAATGTTTTTTAAGAATTATTTTAGTTAACATATACATTTATTTTAATTTGACCAGAAATGTAAAGGGCAATGCAGATATGAGGGTTAGCACCTATGCTCCATGAAACACGTGTGTGTTTTGGAGTTGGAGCAGTGGCTTCGTGAGGGACAGGGCCTGCACCACGCTCCTGTTTTCCAAATCCTGTACCCATTCAGCCACGTGTGTTGGTGAGCTTTATAGTTCATATTTACTGAAAGGAGCTCAAAAATGAAAGTCCGTGTGCCCAGTAAAGTCATGGTCCTAGCCAGTTCGAATTGAAAGTTACAGTAGAGATTCACATTAGTTTAAATGACACTTGAACTTCTACATAGCTCCACATTAATTCATTATGGTTGAAATGGAAGAATCTTCAGTGGGTGAATCTTTTTCAATCTGATTGAGGCTGTTACATTTTATAGGTGCTATTTTTCAAAGCCGTACTGACAGCACTCGAAGTTATTAAATTGCTGAATCAAAAGATGGACCTGCACTCGCATTTATGAACTGCGGTGGGCCAGCTGGGCTGCGCCGCGCGGAGGTTAAGATGCTGCTGGTGCTGGGTTCATCACCCCGCACTGACGGCTGTATTTACCCACGTAGTTTACTTTAATGGTCTGCAAGTGGCTTAACCCACCTCTGGATTCAAATAAATTCAGTAAGTAGTTCAGAATGGCATAATTATCAGTGCTGCAAGGAATTCAGAGGTTGATTCTATGCCTAGGATATTTCTGTCCAGTTGTGGGGGGAAGAAAGGAATGCTTGGACTTGAGCATGCAGCATTTCTTACAGGGACTCCCCAAGCGTGGTCACCCTCTCCCGACGCCCCGACTGCAGTGGTTCCCTGTGTTCAGTGTAATGGCAGTGCACCCTTCTCTACACCCGTGGAGGCGTGGGAGTGGAAGGCTGCCTTTGTTTTTGTGTCCTTATTTTTTCCCAAATCTCCTATTTGACTTTAAAGTGACCTTGAAATTAGAGAATAGACAGAGCAATCCAATCAGGTCAGAGTGTGAAGGCCAGCCGGATGCTGCATCTCAGGAAAACAGTGGGGGTGAGGGGAGAAGTTGCAGGCGTGCCGGAGGGAGGATGTGTGGAGTGCATCGGACAAAGGCGGAGGGCGCCATGGGCTGCAACCTGACCGGATCGGCACACCACGGCACACTCAGGCATAAGTGAACATGCACACGGGGACTCTGGGCAGCTCTCACTCACTGAGGCTTCTCACACCCTGAGGCCTGTTCTGATCTCTTTGAAGACAAAGAATTTAGGGAGGATTCAAGTTCAGAAGATGACCATGAGATGAGGTTAAAGCATGTAGACAGTAATTTGCCTTTCTTTCCAGGATCTGTGTGTTTAACCCAGTCTTGTGGCTATTCCAATGGGTGAAGTCTTTACTCTGTAAAGTGGACTGAAAGGCAAAGAGGGAGGCACTCCCTACCACAGTCCCTACCACGCTCCCTACCACACTCCCTACCACGCTCCCTACCACACTCCCTACCATGCTCCCTACCACATTCCCTACCACGCTCACTACCACGCTCTCTACCACGCTCCCTACCACGCTCGCTACCACGCTCCCTACCACGCTCGCTACCACGCTCCCTACCACGCTCGCTACCACGCTCCCTACCACGCTCGCTACCACGCTCCCTACCACGCTCTCTACCATGCTCCCTACCACATTCCCTACCACACTCACTACCACTCTCCCTACCACGCTCTCTACCACGCTCCCTACCACATTCCATGCCATGCTCCCTACCACGCTCCCTACCACACTCCCTACCACACTCCACTCCCTACCACACTCCACATTCCCTACCACACTCACTACCACTCTCCCTACCACGCTCTCTACCATGCTCCCTACCACATTCCATGCCATGCTCCCTACCACACTCCCTACCACGCTCCCTACCACATTCCATGCCATGCTCCCTACCACACTCCCTACCACGCTCCCTACCACATTCCATGCCATGCTCCCTACCACGCTCCCTACCACGCTCTCTACCACATTCCATGCCATGCTCCCTACCATGCTCCCTACTGCGCTCCCTACCACACTCCCTCCGTACCATGCTCCCTACCACAGTCCGTACCATGCTTTCTACCACCCTCCCTACCACAGGCTCACTCCTAGGCAGGCCCACTCAGAGGCGCAGGAGTGATTCCTTCACAGCGCTCCTCGTGCTCATGTGAACTTTGGAAGCTCCGGCACCTGGGTGCATGAGCCCTGCAGTTTGCAGGTTGATATCTGTGACAGCTGCCGCCAGGCAGCCGTGTTCATCAGCACTTGCTACCTGAGGCTCGGGGGACTGGCTCCCCACCTGCTGTTGTGGTGCTGCTTTCTCCCCTTCTTTGCTAATGGGGTAAACAGAGGCAGGGGGCAGAAGGTGGTGTGATGGTTAAAACACTGAACTTCCACATGGCCGACTGCAGTTTAGGTCCTGGACCTGGCAACTCGAAAAATCACACCAGATTCGTGTGCGTGCATGCCCAAAATCCCAGGAGGAAATTGGGGAAGGGATTGCGGCATGGCCAACCCCTGATGGGTGATTTCTCACTTTCTTTCTCTCTCTTTTTCTCTAACGAGCCTATGTACCGAATGGCAAAAACCTTAAAACAGAGAGAGAAGTGGGGTATACAGTAGTTAGGGAATTTGTGGAGCTGGACACATGGGCATGTGGGTCCTCCCTCCGGGAAAGGTCAGTTGATTTACAGACGTGGCTTCCTTGTGGCTGTCTTGTGAGGGCAGGCCAGGAGTCCGTGGGCACTGAACGAGGAGGCAGAAGAGCCTGCTGGTCATGGACCTGGTCCTGGCTGACCCCACAAGCCTACTCTTGACCTAAGATTCCATAATTCTCTCAGCTTTCTAAGAGTTGGGCTGTCGAGCGTTCCCTGACAAAGAAGAAATGGCAACTCATAACGGCTCTGCCACTTGCAAGCCCAGGACCACAGTCGGTGGTGTGTGTGCACCTGGGCACGTCCCCCTGGCAGGCGTGGGTAACCTGCGGGAGACAGGCCTGGCTGGGATCTGCGTGGAGCTCTCTCACTGGTCTTAGTCCTCTTTCCCCGAGTGTGAGGGCAAAGGGTGTAAAGCCTGACCCACATTAGAGAGAGTGGCCTCAAGTCTCAGGAATGTGGTTGCTGTGAGGTATGGGAATGTGCAGTGTAGACCATTTACAGAGGGAAGGAGGGGCTTCCAAGAAAACTGATAGAAAATGGGGACTTTAAAGAAGAAAACAGCAACTCTATTTAAAGAGTCTACCCCCCCCCTTTTTTATGGAAATAAAAATGCCAATTTCCAGCATCTTTTATCTCAGGGAGTTATGAAACAGCAGGCGGTGGGGTGGCAGCTGATGTTGAGGGTGCAGCGCCTGGCGGGCCCCCCTCAGTGCCCCCTCCCCGCCATCTTCTCTGGCTCCTTCCCCTCCATCCTGGCTGCTGCTGCCAGGGCACTGTGCTGCAGACACGGTAAGGCAGACCCCAGGAGCCGCCTCCAGCCTTGCCCCACCTGGGTGGAGGCCTGGAGAGCTACCCACCTGTGCTGTCTGGTTTACAAACCACAGGCAGTGAGGGACGGGGAGTTGGGGGGGCAGCCAGGCTAGGGGTGCCAGGCTTTCTCTCCCGTCCCATCCTGCCTCCTGGGAGCGTCAGGCCGTGGCCCACCCCTGCCCACAGCCAGGCTCACCTAGAGTGGGAGCTGCTCAGCACCTTTGAGTGGGGGTCACTGGTTCATTGAGGCTCTGAAGCCTCC